AACTTCTGTCCTTGATGAGACTGTTACTAGTTTTTCTTTGGAATACCAAAGTTCCATTCTATTCTAAAGGTTTAGGTTCCTTCTCTGAACAGGTTGAGTATTAATGATTTGTTGCAAATATGCAGAAGTAACTGCACCTTTAATCCAGACTTGTATATTATGTGTTTTCCAGTGGCAGCATCCTGTGATCACCTTTTTTGCATTGTAAAGTGGCTTGCAGGCTCAGATCTATCCTTTCCGGACATTTGGTTATTATTGGGTTTGTCCCTCATCCATTATGAATTTTCTCAAGGGTGGTAGTACGAAGAAGGAAGCTTGGTATCGCAGAGAGGTTCTATGTTTGCAGGGTTGTGGGTGCTTTTTTTTTCCATTTTTGACATTAAAAAGAAGTTTTATTGAGAAAAGAAAGGAAAAAAATAAGTACAGTGGATAAGTTATCCAGCTGAGAAAAGATGTAAAGAAAAACAAAATAAAACAAAGGAAAAACAAAACGATGGTTATAGAACCGAAAACTTGTCACATGACAAAGGCATCCCAGAACAAGGATTTGTCTGAGTAATTGCCGTGGGCCTTAGCCTAAAGAGAGGCCAAGAAGGTCATCTTCTCCCAAAGGATTGAGTCCAGTAAAGAACAATTATCAAAAATTTGATGCAGGGTTGTGGGTGTTGTGCTTGGAGCATAATGCCAGTATTTTCAAGGATTGGTTTAGCTTACTGTCTTTTCTCTAGGATCATATGGTTTTCTTTGCAGCTTTGTGGTCTAGGGCCCATGGCTATTCTAGGATGTTTGTCTGACTATTTTGCGAAGGGACTAGAGGATTTTGCTATTCTAATGTACTTCCTTCTCTTTGTTTTCTTAGGAGGATCTCTTGTCCTCTGGCTTTATAATTTTCTTTCCTGTCTCTAATAAATTTTTTTGTTCATGGAAAAGAGTAATTTAAGAGTTGTTTCATTATAAATAGTTAGTCAGAAATTTCAATCCTCAACTCCCTCTTCCCCCAAAAAAGAAAATCCTAGACTTCGTCATTCTGTTCTGAAATTCTGGACATCCCAGAATTTCTCTCTGGTTTATCCCAAAAAGAATTTCTATCTGAGTTATAAATGGAGAAATCATGTCTACCATTTTATGACATCATCATAGCATTAATGTTGTTCTACTGGAGGATCCTGTACTTTTAGTTCCTGAGTTTATACTGTATTTGCACATGGGTCAAATCTGGGATGCTCAGGAGTTTCTATTAGGGTTAGAAATGAATGTTAAGTTGTTGTCTTTTTATGACTACCATTAGTTTATTTAAAAGAGACTACCATTAGTAATTCTACTGTTGTTCTGCAGGAGGATCCTGTACTTTTAGTTCCAGAGGACAAAAGCCAAAAGCCTTATGTGGCAATCATTAAGGTACTTTTTCAGAACTAACTTGGCATGGTTTTCTTCAAGTCTTGTTGCCTTTTTTTAAAAAAATAATGGAATTAGTGTCCTATTTATAGGACATTACTCAAGCTAAAGATGGGAATATGATGGTTACTGGACAATGGTTCTATCGGCCTGAGGAGGCAGCAAAGAAAGGAGGTGGAAGTTGGCAATCACGTGACACACGAGAACTCTTCTATAGTTTCCACCGAGATGAGGTTCCGGCTGAGTCTGTGATGCACAAGTGTGTGGTGCATTTTGTCCCAATCCACAAGCAGCTTCCTGTTCGTAAACAAAATCCTGGTTTTATCGTGCAAAAGGTATATGACACTGTGGAGCGGAAGCTTTGGAAGTTGACTGATAAAGATTATGAAGATAACAAGCAGCATGAAATTGACCTCCTTGTTCAGAAGACCATGTCACGATTGGGGGATCTTCCTGATCTTGAGATTGAAGATACAATTACAGATCAGGAAGATCAGTTAAAGACTAAAAGATCTCTCAGGAAAAAGAATATATCACCTTTGGATGTTACAAGAGAGGATACCAAGCCTGACGGAAAGGCTGAAACACCTTTAAGTTGCACACCTAATGCATCAGAGCATTACTCTATCTTATTGAAGTTTAATGCACTGACTGGGGAAACTCATCGTGATAAATGGTTGGAGAGGCTGCTTCAAGGAATTCAGTACATATGCAGTTCTCCAGACAGTATGCAAGCAGACGATGAAGGAAAGGGCAATTCTGATGGCACGACTCATGAAAGGGGCAATAAAAGTCCTGCAACTGGAAATGCATCCCAAGAGAAGGTACATAATGAATTCTCTCTGGTTCTGGAATTTGCTTCAGAATTATTCCCTTGCCCTTCCAGCTAAAAAAATCCTGGTAAAATAGATAATGATTAGCTTTTTTCTTTTCCTTCTTAACAGAGGGAAAATCTTTTTCCCTGGCCAGATGCTGCTGTTTCTGCTGTTACTGCTCTTGAGATAGCTTCACATGATGCTCTTTCCACAGATTTCCAAAAGTATAATCAGAAGTTGCGGCAATTGGTTTTCAATCTGAAGGTCAGGAGCACTTTGTATATGAGAGTAATGATGGCAAGATGCTTTAATGCATCCATGCACTTGGATATTTTACGATACACAATTTCGTGATGTATTTAGATACTCACTGTTGTCACAGCTGAAGCATGTCACTCTCTAGCACGGTGTGATCTTTATATCCCAAAGTCTTAATTATCTACAATCCTGGATAATAATAGTTTGGTTGGAGATGTCCTCTCTAAAAGTAGACATCGTTTAAACATGCAATAAAAGAAGGTTTTGTTGAAATGATCACTCATTAGGATGTATAGCAAACTTACATGGATTGAGGTTTATCGTCAAGAAAAAGCATGCTTGGATAACATTACAGACTTTGTCTATCTTTTTGCTTCATTCCTGTGCTGTTTCAGTGAATTATGTCCTTTTTGGCAGAATAATCCACTTTTAGCCTTGCGTTTACTCAATGGAGAATTGGAGCCTTCAAAAATACTGAATATGTCACCAAACGAATTGAAGGTATCTTCATCATAAGTTGATTGTGCATTCTTTTTCTGCATCTCAAAAGCAGCTTGTTTCTTTGGAGATGATAATACTTAGTATTTTTTTGGTATAATATGGTAGATGAAATTATTCTTTACACTGCTATATATGTGCTTATGGATAGGTTGGTGTTTAAATGCTCAACAATTATGGTAAAGTTTAACTCTTCTAAGTTTGACTATTTTCTTTGTTAAACTTAGTTGTTTGACTGTTGATTATTCCTATCTATCCTTTGTGCCAATACCATGAGCTCTACTCCATTCTTATTCATTCATGGTGGGAGAACTAGTAAAAAGAATTATATAATAAAACTGGCATTCATCTTCAGGTGCTTGTTCACGAATCTGCCAAAATAGTCTTGAAACATAATATCAAGATTCATGAGTTTTGGTTCTGTGGTCAAAATACTTGACAATCTTTCCCCATTCATCTCTAAATTATTTATCCAATTCTAGTTTTGTTTCTCCAAGTCCTTCGTTCCCTTTGCTTCTTTTACCTTGTACTATTGCATTCACTTACACCTTCCACATTTCATCTTCCCTAATGCATACTTCTTGAGTTTGAGAAATTGAGTGTGCAACACAACTGTAATTTGCATACTAATATTCAAACAAACTTTGCCTTCATTTTTCAACCCATTAAAGAAACACTTCAATCACCAGGATAAATGCCTAGTGCTAATGAACACTCCCATGCCATAATTCTCTAGCATGTACACATTATCCAGGACATAAGGAAACCTAAAAATTTAAAAGTACTTCCATAAAATATATATATATTTTTGAGATACAAGAGAAGTATATTAAGTATAGACACCAAGGGGGTGTCACCCCTCAAAATATTTTGATGACTAGCAACAGAACTTGTGAAAGACAAGCATGGGCATATTTCCAATTATCATCTTAAAGCATGCCAACTGTTCTATGAGGCTAACCTCTATTTTATTTATCTTGATTTTTCAATAAATCAAAAGCCTTTTAAATTTTAAAGCTGATTCCAACATCAAGTAAGGAGGCTTCTGCCAGGTTCCAAATTCCAAACAACTAGGTCTATATTCTCAGTTTTTTCTTGTTCAGCACAGGTCTTAAACCTTTGCAACCTAGCTGGAGGAGAGCTCATGTGTCTCTCGGGTCGCTAAAGTTTAAGAATGGAAGGGTTAAATCTTTCAGCTCATCCTCAGCCACCAAGGGTAAAATGTGAGCAACACACCTCATATGTTGATATTCACCTTTCAGAATAGAAGTTTTCCAATTAGTAAGCCATTATTTCAAATATTTAGCCCCCAGACAGAGATAGCATTCTCAGTTGTTATTATGAAAACTCCAATAGTTTTTTTTTGGTAGAAAAAATAAGTTTTATTGAGAAAGAGAAACATGCACAAAACCAGTGAATAAGGTATCCAGCTGAGAAACAACGTAAAATGTGACAAAAACAGGGAAAACAGAACAATATAATAGAAGCTGACAACTCGTCACACCATCGAGGCATCCCAACTCCTAAGGAGAAAGCCAAGGATCTTTGAGAAAGTTCCATGAGCTTTAGCCTAGAGAGTGCTCCACTCAGGGGTGCTCATCACCATATTAAAATCTCTATAGTATTCCACTCATCACTCATGAGCTTTAGCCCTTCACTATATTAAAACTTTCAATAGGTTATTTCATAGCCTAGAGAGTATCCCATGAGCTTTAGCCTCTTTAATTCCCTTATCAGCAGGGCATTCCACTCTTCTGTCTTCAGTTTCTTCTTCTTCTTCGTCCTTATTTTCTATCAGGTGGATATGCTCCATTTTTTTTAGAAATATCAAGTGTAAAATATAGTATTAAAAATGGCACCAAGGGTTACCAAACCCCTGTACAAGAAATTTACATTTTGGTCAAAGTATTAATAAGGTTCCATAACTCTCCCATTACATGAGGAGAATGGCACATTAACAAATGACAGAGTTTGGAACCATTTATTCTTAAGAATGTCAAAATATCTACCCTTTCAAAAGCCCTCCTATTTCTCTCATTCTACACAATCCACAAAATAGTAAGTGGAATTACGTCCAGATGCTTCCCATTGCCTCTCACACCCTTCCATGCCCAAATTTCATCATGCAGCAAACCTGCCATCACCCAACTAATTCCAAGTCGTTCAAAAACTAAATTCCAAAGCTTGTACAGAGTTGGGCACCAGAACAAAAGATGATTGCAAGTCTCCTCCGCCTTATACAAAAAGCAAGCATTTACCGAAGTCTTACCCATTTTCTTCAAATTATCAATTGTCAAAATACAACCCCTACTAGCCTCCTAGACAAAAAAAAAGGAAATCCAGGGTAGCCTTCCAGATTTGCTGAATTGGGAATCTGATGTCATTATTTTCAAATTTGAACAGATACTTGTAGGAAGATTTGACAGTGAAGGACCCATTCTTAACGAGGCGCCACTATGAAGTATCATTGCTACTGTTGAAGTTCACTCTGGAAAGGGTATTCAACAATCTCTTATACTTTTTGATCTTCCAGTTATTATTTTTTTTTGAAATAAAAAATGGACATCATTCCATAGGTACCAAGGGGGTATCGCGTAAAATACAAAAATTGCCGTTCAATCAAATGATCTAAAACCATCCCCAAATTCTCAAGGTCTTATATATCATGTATCAAGAATAAAGAACCAAAAAGATGAAACCATCTATACTTGATGCTGGTAAAATCATTTTCTATCCCCTCAAAAGCTCTTGAATTTCTCTCTTTCCACACAATCCACATTAAAGATAATGGAATCAACATTAAATATTTTTTCTTCTCACACAATCTAGCCGAAGTCCACAATTCATACTTAACCGACCCCCCTATAACCCATTTGATTCCCAACATGCCATAAATAGAAGTCCATAGATCATAAACCAGCGGACACCACAATAATATATGGTTACAAGATTCAGCATAACGTTTGCACTTATAACATCTATTCACCATGCATCTCCCCCTCCTAATGAGCATATCTGTAGTTAAAACACTTCCTCTGCACACTTCCCATACAAACAAAGCCATTATTGGAGATGCTTTAGTCTTCCATACTTGCTTAAACGGAACAGATTCTGCTTTCACCTTTCGACCCCAAAGGTGACAAGATAGGGATTCACAGAAAATATCCCATATTTTTCCAACGTCCACTGTTTATAATCGTCCTGACCACCCACTTTTAATTCAGATAATAAAAGATATAGTTGCTGAAAATCATCATTCTCCCAATCATTCAAATTTCTCTTCACCTGCACATCCCACCAACTATGGTCTCCATTTTCCACATGTGCTTCCCTTATCGTCATATTTCTGTTCTGCGCAATCTCAAAAATTATTGGAAATCTGTCTTTAAGTCTAACATTTCCAACCCAAATATCATCCCAAAACCTTATCTTTAAACCATTTTCAACACACCATCTAGTACATTCCTCAAAGGCTTTCCTACCCTTTAATATATTCTTCCATAAACTACAGCCATGGGCTCTACCAGCCACACTCCGCTCATCTCCTCCACCCCTTGCACCCCATTTAGCCCCCACCACTTTACACCATAATCTGTCACCTTTCCTGCAATTTCTCGATAACCATTTTCCTAACAAAGCATTATTCATTTGAACAATAGATCTCAACTCCAATCCTCCACATTCCATAGGATTTTTTACCTCCTCCGATCTTGCTAAATGATATTTCCTTTTATCCATCTCATCACCCCATAAAACTCTGCATTGT